TTTGCATCTTGACCTGCTGGACCTATTGGACCTCTTTCACCATCTTTACCATCTCGACCTTTTGGCCCCATTGGACCTCTTTCACCATCTTTACCATCTTGACCTTTTAGACCTCTTTCACCATCTTTACCATCTCGACCTTTTGGCCCCATTGGACCTCGTGCACCATTTGTACCAGGTGTACCATCTTTACCTGCTGGACCTTGTATACCATCTTTACCGTTTGTACCAGGATCTCCTTTATCACCCTTTATGCCCTGTATACCAGGATCTCCTTTTATGCTCGCTTTAAATGTATCATCTCTCTTCAACCTGTCAGCAACATCTTGTGGAGTTGCATCTTTACCTGCTGGACCTTGCATGCCATCTGCACCATCTTTACCATCTGTCCCATTTGTACCTGATATACCCTGTACACCTTTCTGGCCACGTGAACCCGTCTCACCTTTTTCACCCCTCGGCCCTGGTGGACCCGTATCTCCTTTTAGGCTTGCTCTAAACTCAAGATCTTCCTTAAGCGCGTCTTTTACTTTCCCTGGTAAAGTATCATTTACAAACTTTATTGCTTCATATAGTGGAGTGCGACCTTGAGTATTTTCCACATGAGGATCAGATTTATGTACCAAAAGCGCTTCTGCTGCATAGAATTTACCAAATTTAGCAGCTTCATGAAGTGGAATATTACCACCATTATCTTTAAGTGTAACATCAGCTCCATTGCTCAGGAGCGCGTTCACTACAGGAATGTAACCTAACTCGGCAGCATTATGAAGCGGAGTTCTACCATCTACATCTTTAGAATTAACATAATCTACCTTTGCTGTATCTTTCTTCTTCCCCTCTGCTATGAGTGCTGTTAGTACATCTATGGGAGCTCTGATAGCAGCTTCATGGAGCGGAGTGTCTTCATGTTTATCTTTAATAGTAACATCAGCGTTTTTACTTATGAGCTCTTTTACTACAGTGGAGTAACCTACCTTGGCAGCTTTGTGAAGCGGAGTTTCACCATTATTATCTTGAGAATTAACATACTTTACCTCTGCTGTATCTTTTTTCTGCCCCTCTACTATGAGTGCTTTTACTACATTTAATTTATTATTTTCTGTCGCTTCTCTATTATATTCTGCAGCTTTATGCAGTGGAGTTTCACCAGAATTATCTTTGGAATTAATATAATTTATATTTTTCTTTTTTCCTTCTTTTATAAGCTTTGCTGCTGTCTGTGAGTGACCATATCTAGCAGCCACATGAAGTGGGGTCTCACCAGAGCTATCTTTAGAAGTAACATCTGCTCCTTTTTCTATAAGTTTTTCTACTACTTTGAATTTATCATCTATCAGCTTTGTTGTTGCTTGTAATTGTGCCTCTCTTGCAGCTTGAGACTTATCTTTTGCATCTGGCATCTTATGCTCTACAGCTTTATGAAGCGGAGTTTTTTTAGATTTATCCTCATGATTAACATTCGCTCCCTTGTCTATAAGCCTTGCTGCTACATTTAAATGATGATTTGTGATAGCTTGATGTAATAGAGTTTCACCACTATTTTCATCCTTAAAATCAACCTTAGCTCCTTTTTCTATAAGCTTGTTTACTATGTCTGGGTAACTCTCAAGTGCAGCTTGATACAGTGGAGTTTTACCAAATTTATCGGGAGAATCAATCGTAGCTCCCTTTGTTATAAGATTTGTTNGATTTATCCTCATGATTAACATTCGCTCCCTTGTCTATAAGCCTTGCTGCTACATTTAAATGATGATTTGTGATAGCTTGATGTAATAGAGTTTCACCACTATTTTCATCCTTAAAATCAACCTTAGCTCCTTTTTCTATAAGCTTGTTTATTATGGTTGGGTCATTATTAAGTGCAGCTTGATACAGTGGAGTTTTACCAAATTTATCGGGAGAATCAATCGTAGCTCCCTTTGTTATAAGATTTGTTACTACGGGTGACAGACCACTACTGACAGCCTGATGTAGCAAAGTTTCGCCATTGTCATTCTGAAAATTAACATTTGCTCCTTTTCTTATAAGCTGATCCATTACACTTAAATGATTATTTAATGCAGCGTTATACAGAGGAGTTCTACCACTGTTATTCTGCAAATCAACATTAGCTCCCTTGTCTATAAGCTTTGCTACTGTCCATGAACGACCATTTCTGGCAGCGCTATGAAGTGGAGTGTCACCAGACTTATCCTCAAGATCAATCATAGCTCCACTATCTATAAGCTTTGCTACTACATCTACATGACCTTCTGATGCAGATTGATGCAGTGGAGTTTCTCCATTTCTATCCGGGGAATTAACCTTAGCTCCCTTTTCTATAAGCTTTGCTACTATTGTTAAGTAATTATTTTTGGCAGCCACATGAAGTGGAGTATCACCAGTACTCTCCTGAAGATCAACCGTAGCCCCCTCATTTATAAGCTCTGTTACTACCTTTAACTTGTTCTGTTCTGCATCCACCTTCTGTGTGTAAGTCATGTGAGATTCTGCATCTTCGTTCCGTTTTGCAACTTTATGAAGTGGAGTTTTACCCCATGTATCCGTAACATTGACATCCATTCCCTTGTTTATACATTCTTTTACTTTTTCTAAATTTCCGTCACTTGCATACTGTAAAAATTTATCCACGCTACAAATCGTCACAGTACTATCGCTTGCTGTCATTCTTTCTTCCTCTTAATTTCTAAAGCGTATGTAATACAATACAATTAATGACAATTTATTAACTAGCTGTACTAACTTGTTGGTTGATTATATTAATGATGTAAGGAAATAGAATTTCTTCTCTTTTGCTTAATCTACAACTGAATTTTTAGTTTTTTTCTTCCCTTATTTAAAATTTTTATGGTAATTGACAATTGCATTTTTACGTATTTCATCAAATAACATAGAGCTTTGTTTCATGATTTTTTGTTGGTATATTCCCTGTTTAATTGCTTCTATATCAATTTTATCACTTTCGATGTTACATAACATGATGAGTCTTGCAGTGCTGCCTTCCTTAATTTCTACTATTTCATTTATGCTTGTCTTGTTAAATAAAACCTGTAGTTCAGGGTTTAAGTCTCTCATCTTTATTTTAAATTCTTTTATGCTTGGTAGTTTTAGATCATTTGTTAATTTATTAAAATTTGAACAATTAGCTTGTTGCTTTTTGAGATTTTCTAGTGCACCATCTGAATCTTTGACTATGATCTGTTTTAAACTTAAAGTACTATTCAGTACTTTTTGCCTTCTAGTATTATCTACTTCTTCATCACTTACTCCATGGATAAATGGAACAATTCTAGCTTCAATAATTTTATTCCATAATAGTTGATATCTCATTTGTTTGGTCAACCCTTTAAGATCTATATCATGCTTTTTTGTGTATTGACTGACTTCTTCCGCCTTGAGTTTAAAATTCTGGACGAAAAATGATACAATGGAATTATTTATTTCTTCATCGCTAAGCTTTATATTTAACCTCTGCGACTCATTAGTAATAAT